ATATATATATATATTTAGTATATATGAAAAAATTAAATTAGCAAAATTATATTCCTAACCTTTTCTATAATATAATACGTGTAAAAATCTGAATTACTCAAGTTTTTTTTAGGAATATTTGCTTTTTAAAGTTTTTTTTTTTAATTTATTAAGTTATTTGTAAAATTGTAAGTTCTGTTTATTTATTTATTTATTTTTATCAATAACTATATGAGTGATACTTGAGTTGTGGTTGAGTGATTTTAAAGAGTTAAAGAACTCTCAAAGAGTTGTTCAAGTGTTTTGAGGATTTATTAAGTCAGATGTCTAGTTAGTTTTAAGAAAGACAGTATTTAAGGTTTTTTTTGAACTTCACTCTCATAAACTCAAGTCTTAGAGAAACTTAGAGAAAGAACTAGATAGAAGGACTATAGAGCGAATCTTCCTTCTAGGATTCTCGGTGGAGTAAGAGATCATTGAGGATTAGAGGGTGTTGATTCAAAACTTCTAGTTGAGAATCAAGTGTTGTAGGTGTAGAGCTTGGAAGCTCAAAGTTATTTCTTCTTCCTCTTCTCGTTACTCATTTAGCTCGTAGTCGAGCTAAGGGAAGTTAGCATTGGATTCTTGTTACATGTCTAAGTTATGTGAATAATTTGGATGTTAAATGGTTGCAATTGTATGGTGGGATTGCATGATTTTGAATGGATGTAGTTAAGCTTTGGTGTCTTGAGTTATGAAGGTGATTTTAATGATTTAAACGATTTGCTAGTTGCATGTTGTTGTTTGGATGAGAAATGAATTGTATGTGATGCATATGTATAAAATGTTGCGATGCATGCTTAGTTTGTTAAGTTTCAGGGTACCTTGGAGACAATTTCATGGGTCTACTATATGCATAACTGTTGGGATACAAACAAGTTTTACATCAATAAAATAAGAGAAGAAATAAAAAATTATAAAATACAAGCATACTTTAATGATAGAGAGGCCTTTTGGGTGATGATCAAAAGCAAAATCGTGAGGGCTTAGACCCAAAGCGTACAATATCTCATCATTGTGGAGTTATGTGTGAAATAACCTTATAAAAAATAACACTTATAAAATATCCCCTCAGACAAATACCATAAAATAACCCCATCAATATAACTCATTATTGCATCGGACGTGGTTCAATCAGGGGCACTCTATCTAGCTCACAATAGGTGCATGATCAATGGTGTTAGGCATGAGGAGAAAGAATCGTCTCAAATTGGATTTGTGTCAGTTATGAGGATAGAGAATCATCTAGGATTGGTGTGAGGTCGCATGTGATATTTTGCCACATTAGGCATAAGGTCCCAAGGGTTCCCTATCTTGGCCATGATAGGTGCAAATTGAGTGGTGTTAGGTGTGGACAAGGCAGAGAGCTCTTTGCCTCAATGGCACTAGGCGCAAGGTATGTAATGCCGGGTGTGGACTGCTTTTTAGGTTATTTGGTGAATTTGATGTTGAAAGTGAATAAAACTGTTGAATCTATTGCATGTCGTGTGTTGAATGATGATGATAGTTCCATGTATATTAATTTGGAATAATATATGTAGATGTTTAAATGGTTGAATTGTTGATGAGCATTAGTTTATGCAATACTTAAAGGAGTTGTAGAGCATTGGTATGCTACGCATAATTGATGCATTTGATCTCTATATTCATTGACCTAGGGTAATGTATATAGATGATGTGTGTTGAGACATTGATGTTGAGAATGCTATAAGCATTAAAACATATTGATTGACTTACGATTAGAAGAGAAAGTGAAAATTAAAAAAGTTGAATATCCCATGTAGAGAATATTGGTGTGGAACTCTAGGAGGCCAGTTGTTGAAAAACTTGTCTTGTCAATGTTGGAGTAAGATATGATGTTGAGAGCTACAACTCTTAACTAATTACTAGAAATGTGTGATTTCTCAGTGATAGTTAGTTAGTAGACTAATTTCATAAATGATTTGATAATGCATCCCAGGGTTGTGGTATGCTCATACCTAACTATATTAGACCTGATGGTGGAATTGGACTTTCTTAGTATAAGTGACGACACTTAAGAAATTAAAAGATAGAGATTGGTATCCTGATTTACTTGTCGATTTAGCCAATGCATGAGGCATAAAAACAATCAAGCTAGTTCAATAGGATCAAACCACTTAGATTGGTCAAATATTTTAGGAGATCTTCATAGGTGAATGTGTAACGACACATTAATTGAGGTGTAAGCATATGATACAATGTTGTTTGTTGTTATTCATATGCATCGAGTGAATACCTTGTTGTATGGTATGATTGTGGGAAATGTTTTAATTGCTTGGCTATTTAGCTTTCAAACATGTTAGTGTTTTGATGAATTGGTGAATGTTGTGAACCATGAGGTGTTGTTTACTGTTGGTTTACATGTGGATATTGATAGTAGTATAGATGTTTTCTTTCTACACTTATATTCTTTTTTTGAAATCTAATTTACCTTTATATGTTTTCCTAGTGATTAGACTACGATGATTACGATTTTCATGGAAACAAGGTAGTGTTAGCCAAAGGCAAATAATGTCGTGTAGAGTCATGTTGATGGCATGTAGCTAGATGCTACTTTTGAAGGGTATTGTACAGATATATTTGATCGACATTTAAATTGTATATTTGACATTTACTAGATTATTATACTTATATTGTTTTATATTTGTACAATGATTTTACACTTATATACATGTTATGTGATATATATATTCAATTATCTTTATATATATAATTCAAAGTATTTATAGTCGTTTCACTACTAATTGTGATTCCAAATAGTATAGTAACCATAATAGATCATTATATTATTAAATAAAATGATCCTAACTAAATTTTGTTATTATCCTTTTATATTTACTTTGAATTCTATTTCTATTTTCTACTCATTCAATTTTTTTACTTGGCTTCCCTCTTTATTCCTCTTTCAATGTTTAGTAATGTCTATAACACATGAAAAAATCCATTGCTACACTGACTACTTCATTCACGTGAAATGTTGGCAAACATTGTAATATTTCTTCACTCCAAACAACAATATTAAAATGATGGGAGAAGAGGAATTCCTTCCTTTTCTATTGTTTCTCGTGATTTTTATTTTGCTACCTTTGTGATGATGAGCAAAGAGTGGACATTTATGTTTATCTAAATTTTATATTGAATTATGTTGGAGTATAAATATTATTCCAATACGAAGAATTGGTTAGTATTATAGGAGTTATTTTATGGTATTTGTGTGAGAGTTATTTTTATAAAGTTATTACACAAGCATACTCCACAATGATAAGATATTGTCCGCTTTGGGTTTAAGCCCTCACAGTTTTGCTTTTGGTCATCACCCAAAAGGTCTTTCTATCATTGAAGTATGTTTGTGCTATATAAGTTATTATTTCTTGTCTTATTTTATCGATGTGGGACTTGTTTGTATCCCAACAATCCTCCTTTCAAACAAGGAACCTAACCTTTCAAGTACCGAAATCTATATTTATATATCACATTATCATTATCATTTTTTTTATTTTTTGTTTTATTTTATCGATGTGAAACTTGTTTGTATCCCAACAAGTATTATATCTGTGCTTTATGCCGGTCAAAACTAGACTACTTAAGTCTTTTCAGTAATGCTTGTATTTTAGTTTTTGAAAACTTTTTTTTTTTAATTTATTAAGTTATCAACTTACTTATAGCCTTTAAAAAAAAACTTACTTATAAAATCTTAACTTAATTTTGTTATAACATTTTTTTTATCTTTATTTTGAATTTATTACATTGTCTATTTATTCAGTAGTTTTATTTTACTTGTCTCTTTATTCTTATTTTTTCCAGCTTCCTTATTCATCAATCGGTTATGTTCGACAGTGTCATTACGAATGAAGGAAATTTTACGACTATATACTAACTATTTCATCCGCGTGAAATATTGACAAACATACTTATGTAGGGACGGATCCGTATATAAAAAGAGTGGCTATCCCCACTAAATTTTTACAATTTTAAAATATAATATACATTTATAATTATAAATCATTCTTATAATTAAAATATGGTAAAATAAAATTATAATATAAATACTAGTTCAACTAATTTATTTTAGTTTAGTTATTTTCACTCTCAATTATGTATTTTTAACATTATTTCTCTTCTTTTCTTTAAATACGAATTTTACATATATTTTTACAACTAATTAAAAATATTCTCTCTCAATTTTATCAAATTATATTCTTTTTGCCTTTATGTGTATAAATGAATTTTTTAATTGTCTAACTTTTTGGTCTATTATATCTGACCTATATTTTTAATTAAATTTTAATAGTTTTTAAAAAATTGTCAACAATTAAAAATAGTTTTATATTAAAAATTAAATTAATAATTAAAAATTCAAATTTTAGTTTATATAAGATTTGCTTGCTATACCTGTTTC